AATAGAATTAAATATTACTTGACTACTATAAGTATCTGTACTTTAATAAACAATTGAATGAATGGATATTGAAGCTTCTATTTATTTTTAATTTTCATATTAATAAGTTCACAGTAAAAAAGTCATGCTATTTTTAATTTATTTTTGGTAACTGTCTTCTTTTTTATAAAGTTTGAAAACTGTGTTTATATTTCTTCCCACATTATTATAGAATTTCCGAAATCTAAGAATGTTTTTATAAGTTCCTTCTACTTACAAATTAAAATATGTAGATATGAATAATCTAAACAAATAAATAAACATAAAATAAACAAAAATAAATTAATTAATTAACACAAATTTCATGAAATATCTTGTAATTTTTAGCAGCTGTAAATATTTATTAGCAACTTCATGTTATTGTTTCCCAATGATTATTTAATTACACACTTTTACTGTTATAACAATTAATTCGAAACGAACTTTAATTTTAAACTTCATTTTTTGTACATTTGTCGACTGTTTTCAGTAAAAGTAAATAAAAAATAAATATATATATTACATAAATCAAATGTGAATGCAATCGAAACTCAGACTTTAAAAAAATATATCCTTCTTTTGGGGGCGAGAGAGAGAGAGAGAGAGAGAGAGAGTGACAGAGAGACAGAGAGCTTGATTGTTGCTTGTTTATATATATTTTATGGTCATTAGCGCTACATTAAAATAATGAAAAGCTTTCACATTAATACAATGCAAAATGCGCCGCTTGTCAAATGCCAGAAGCAACAACTGAAAAAGTAAATGCCGAAAACTGTGAAATTTATGTGTGTGTTCCCACAAAGAAGCAGCAATGAGCAGCAACGCACTAAAACACACACACAATTGGTGAGTGGACTGTTGCCACAACTGCCCCAGTTACTGCTGCTGCTGCTGTTGCACGTTGGGCTGCAGTGGCCATAAACAAGGACACGCACGCAATTAATTGCAGAATTATTACAAATTTCATTACATGCTAAAATATGCAAATTGTTTGACGTTGGCAACGCTGAATTCCCAAATGCTCCCCTCCCTTCCACGCGCACACCCCTTCACCACCTGCAACGCCCAGCAACTTGTTTGCTCTGCTAGGACTCAGCGTAGTCCATGCAATTAAATGCATTTGCATACATAATAAATAAATAATGCAGCAGCAGCAGTAGCAGCAGCAACAGCAGCGGCAACATTTCGCAGAAATTCTGATGTGCAACACCGAAAAAAACAACTACTTCTGAAATGCCTTTTAATTATCATTTTAATGTGTTTATGAAAATTAGAAATGCATGCGAAAATTGCTTGCTAAATGCGGAGAGTGGAGAGTGGAGAGAGACGAGTGTAGAGAGACGAGTGTAGAGAGTAAGCGAGTGAGCGATGTTTGAGGGACAGCTGCATTAAGGGACATATTAAATGGCAAAAACACAGCTGCTCAGCCCAATGGAAGAGCGAGGGGCTTTTCAGTGGTTCGTCGGGGGTTAGCTGGCTTACAATTGCTGTTGCAGTATTTGTGCACGAAAATCTACCCATTCGCCAAGTAGCAAAAATCCATTACATCAAAAATGTTGCTACGCTCTTGTTGTTGTTGGCCGTCTGCTGACTGTTATTGTTATTGTAATTGCGCCTGTTTGCAGTTTAGATGTTGTTGTTGCTGTTGCTGTTGCTGTTATTGTAGCATAAATATTGCATGTCTACAAAATATTTGGGTTAACATTTTGCACGCACACACACAAAGACACACACACACATAAATTCGAATGACTGCATATAAAAATGTTTTATTTGCATGATTGCACTCAAAAAAGGGAGTGCATAGACAGCGAGACATTGTGAGACGGAGAGAGGGAGAGAAGCATAGGCTGCTGCTGCCAGTTGAGTGTCAGTTGAGTGGCGTCGTGCATGCTGCTGCCAGCGGCGACGTCGACTGCAATCGAATTGTTTGTGTAATTGTTTCTCTTATTTTGTTTGCCTCCTTTTTGCCGATTGTTTGGCAGCAACAAAAACACAAATAATAACAGCAAACGCACCTTGCGGTTTCTGTGGTTGCGCTCGCTCGCACTCCCACGGCGAATGTGCCGTAGCATGTGATGGAGAAGGAAAGAGAGGCGAGCATTTTTCATTTTTTTTTTAGTCGCTTTACGCTTTACATGCGTTATGAGTGAATGGTTTAGAAATCGTTTTGGGACTGCGGCACTTTGTTGGCAGTTGTTTGATAGTTTTTTGTAATAGGTCTCCAAAGAGATGTTATCAACATTGTTGACGTGTTGACAGCATTTGAGTGCTGCACAAGTGCAACAAAGGAGAATGTATGCACATTTCTACACACATACATACATACATATCTCTGTATCCATTTGAACATTTGAGCACTCAAGCTGAGATATTGAAAGACGCAAAATTGCAAGCTAAAAAAAAAAGCTCCACACATACACATACAGTTGTAAATAAAATAATATCATCACTACGACATTTTGTCTAACGAATCAAAAAGGAAATCATTCGATTTGGAATTTTTTCAAATGTTGATATTTAATTTATTGTTTTGTAGTCACAGTATAAATTAAATGTAATGTAGTACAGCTTCTTCAATATATATTTACTCTTCTTTTGAAAGGAAAAGTGCCAAAAAGTAGCAATAAATAATAGCCCTTTACGCATCTTATAGAAATTGTTTATTTCTAATTTTCATTTTCAGTACACATTTGAAAAGTTATGCTATTAGTTTTTCCGTTCGCTCTGAATTTTTCATACATTTTGTTAAAATACATTGAGAACGGTGAATAATATAATTTTTTTTTTTTGTCTCCCCTTTCTTAAGACTTCTTCAACTTCTGAAAACGTATTCATAAATTCCATAGACTCAAATTCAATAAACACGCATTTGAACATATTTCTTGTGAAGGTGGTGCTATTATTTTTTTCGCAATTGTATCTTTAAATATATTCGAATGCTTCCGCTGACAATAAATCGAAGCGGATGCTATACAAAAAAAAAGTGATATTGCTTTTGAGCTTTGCCGCTGTGAAAATATTAGACCAAAATTATAACCGTTCATAAACATAACTTTAGCCAATGACAACGCATAATAAAAAAGCACACGTGAGTTCGCATAAATGCGCCGTTATCAGATGCCAAAAACTTATGCAAAGCTTCATTCTGCTGTGGTGCTATTTATATACACACACTCACACAACTTCCCATTATTCGTGTGATTAATCAATTACTAACACTCTTGTATTTCAATTCTTATCTTTTTTGTTGTTTTTTGCAGCGCTATAAGACGGTAGTTTGGCACACCGTATTCAACGTCCTCGATAGTATAGTGGTTAGTATCCCCGCCTGTCACGCGGGAGACCGGGGTTCAATTCCCCGTCGGGGAGAGGCAAGAAAGTCTTTTTTTATTTTTGTAATTTTTTATTTTAAATAAATTATTTTAAAAAACTACATTTATATTTTATGAGCAACATTTGAAACAATTCGATTGTCAATATAGTCTCGTGCACGCCATGAACCATACACACAAGGCCACATAATAGGCACACCCACCCATCATACAAACACACATACAAACACACACATAACGAGAGAAAAGTATGCGTTCAACTCATTCATGCCTAAACAAAAATATAAAATAAAATCGGGCACGCACAAGCTAAGCGAAATCTGTGCAAAACCGCAAAACAATAGTCGAAAATAGTTTGGAAAAATCTATGCCAGTGGTTTTGGTGCCCCTCCCCCGCTAACCGCTGACGGCATGCGGACCTATGCCCAGTGGACCACAAAAATCACGTTATTTCAATTTAAATGCCAAACAATCGCCGCTCCATCAATGGGACCAGCTCTCTTGTTATCGCTTATCTCTGCAAGTGGGTTTTCTGTATTTTTTTTATTTTTTTTTGGTTTGCATTGCTGATATACTGAGGGAAAATGGGCGTAACTTTCGGACTTTCGTTAAACGCCCACGTGCAAAAATGGAAATAATCCCCAAGTCGAATGCGTAATTCGCCAATTTATCACTAGCACCACCGATGAAAGCGAGTGTGGGTTGATTTTTTTGTGAAGAGATAGATAGAGAGAGAGAGAGGGGGGTATGGTGGGGGAGAGGGGTTGTCTATCTTTCACTCTCGTTGCGGCACGTTTGGACGCCTCTTCAGTTCCATTATCGAATGCGTGGACTAATGAAGAATTATGTTCATAATTTCCAAATTTATCGCCGAGACCCTCTTGACAACTTGTACTGTGATCATCATGGAGAAGCTGATGATGCTGGCTGTCTAACACTTAAGTGTGTCAAAATGTTGTCGCTGTGGCACAGTCACACACAAATTGCTGTGGCATGCAGGCGGCAACACCCCTCCCCAAACAAACAGCGTGTCAGTTATACACCGAGAGAGGGAGAGAGAGAGAGAGAGAGGGGGAAGGGAGGGAAATGTACACACTTCGAAATATGTATATTATTTATATTTATGATGCCTCAAGTCAGTCCAAGCGAACTCATCCTAACTCAACCCAACTCGAAGTCAAGTCAACTGAAAGCAGCTCCTCTCATTCGGTTCACAGTTCAAAAAGTCATTTCAAGTTTCTTGTTTCAACAAATTTCAAGTGAAAGTTGTTCAAATTTCTTCTGTGTCTGTTTCTCTGTCTACGCCTCTGTCTGTCTCTGTCTCTGTCTGTCTCTGTCTCTGTCTCCGTTTCAGTGTCAGCCAGCTATTAATTTTCACTTAGTTTAAGTTCTCGCTTAGTATTAAATTACATTGTCAATCCTTTGCTTACTTCAATTCGAACACAGATGACAAAACATTTTCCAGTAGCAGCATTTTTTTCCATTATTTTTAATTGGAAATATTTTTAGATAGTTTTATTTAGTGTTTGGCTTCAGCGATTTCGACTTTGCTTTTAAGTGCTGCTGGAAAATTTATGTGGAAACATATTAAATTTATACGTCTGCTCTTCATTACAGATTATATGCCGACCAAATTGTGTGTGTGGATTAGTCGTCGAGTGGATTCGTATATATATACTTGAATATATATATGCTTGTTTTTGAGAGTCTCAAAAACTGTTTGGGTAAGTTTCTGAACATCATGTTATGTGTTGGGTCAATTGGAAGTCAAGTTATATGGCAGCAGTGTGCCAAACATGGCAAAATAATGTAAATATTTTGATAAAAATGAAATAAAATTGGTGTTGAGATCGAAGTCGTACAGCTAATGAATTGTAAGACATGTTTAATTACTTCTCCAGTGGTAATTAAATTATAATTGCTGACGGAACTTGAGTTAACGATGTGATTAAAATTTAAAAATAGCCAAGCAAGTCAGCAAAGAATTTCACTCCATCCGATAATCAACTGCAAAATAAATAAATGAGTTACAAATATAATTATTTCATAACGAACTCAACCTGCTCGTAGAACATTATTTCAAATTAAATTTCAAAGGCCAAGCAATTTTGGCTATGACTAATCCTTAATTACAGTCACACATTTCAAGGTCGTCCATATCATTTATTATTATTATCATAATTTGTTATTTATTTTTATTTTATTTTTTTTTGACAATAAAACTGGTTTCACATTAAATAAAATTCGTCGTGGGTAACGGCTAAGTACAAAGATAATTTATGGCAAAGAAAAAGTCGCATTTATTTTTAAGCTGAGCTCAGACATTCAAATGCCAAGCTCATTATACAAAAAAAAAAGAAGAAAAATACAGTAATAATGTAATAATAACGCAACAATAAGCGATTTTCGTTTTCGAAAATGCATATAGGAGAAAACAATTTCCATAATGCACAAAATGTTGAGCTCAATTAGGCATAATTTGAAATTCAGCGAAACAGCTGAAAGACATTGCGAGATTCAGTTGAATTTGAATTTGAATTTGGCAGCGCATGGAAATCGAATCTTTCAGATGCAAACGTTGACTGCAATGCTTGAGATACTTTTTTTTTCTTTTTTTTTTTGCATGCAACGGAGAGCGCTACAACATGTGGCAGCACCCAGATCCGCTGAACGAAAATGCCAACGAAATTTGAGGCCTCTTTTTTTGTGGCTGGCAACCCTTGTGGGAGTTGGGCACCACGCCCACCTTTCCCCACATGCAGCCTCCGAGTCGACGCCTGTTTGTTATTTACCGACAACCTTATGGCCACATGTCGGCGTCGTCAACGAAAAAATTGTCATCATAAACAACACTGCGCATAAAAAACCAAACAAAAAAAAACAACAAAAAAGGGGGAAAAATATTTCTTACATTTCTGCCTTTTTGCTGTTGTTGTTGTTGTTGTTGTCGTTTTTGCTTATTTCCTTTGCTGTTTGTTGTTATTGTTGTTGCTGTTGTTGTTGTTGGCGAGCATGTGTGAAAAATAAGCAGTCGCTTGACTGTTGAGAGTTGAGTTCAGTGTGCCACAGTGTGTATAATGCGGGGGGCGTGGCAGCAGCTCGGAAAAGCGCCGCGGCGTCTATTTAATGAAGTGCCATCCCAGGCAATTCGCTCCCAACACAGGCCCAGGGCCTAGGGCCTTTGTCAATTGTTGCGCTTGCCGTTTGCCACACGATGGCAGTGTGAATTTTCACATGAGTCTGTTGCAAGTCGAAATTGAAGTTTGGATTGCACAAAAAGAGCCGCTGTTGGGTTGTTTATCTTTGAATTTGGCCTAGCTGCCAGCTACAGACAGACGAGTGAAGGTGGCTCAAATGAGTTTGGCAAATGAATAAATCACTTGCACAACCAAGCCCCAGATTATTGTACAATCAAATTGGAATTTGGCAGACATTTTTGTATTTGGCACGAGAGATCAGAGATCTCTTTAAAGCGTTTTGAACTTTAAATCAAGTTTGACTCCGTATCAGCTGTATCAATATCAACATCGAGTGTTCACACACACACACGCACACGCACACACACACACACACTCACGCACACCATCATTGAAATATATACACACAGCTTTGGTAAAGCCTTGACAGGCAATTTGTTTAGCACGCAAATATTTGTTTTAATAATTTTCATTGAAATTCCCGACATGTAATTGTCATTTTGTCAGACAAACAATAGGCTCAAGTCGCCGAACTTGGGGCCAGCTAATACCAGCTGAAGACCCCACCCAGACCCCAGCCTCGCCTTCCCGCGTCCCTCCCTGGCCAGCGAGTGTTAAGCTCTCCATTGTTTGTCTCTGCCACTTGGGGCAAGAAATGCGCAACGGCCGCATAAATAACATGAAATTAGCAGGCAAACATGTCAAGTCGCAGTAAAGTGGGCAAAAATACAACTTGAGAATAAATCTAGAAAACTTGTTTCACTTTTTTTCTCGAGTTGGCATCGAGGAACACCTGCGACACGTTGTTTGTTGCCTGTTGTTTGTTGCCTGTTGTCTGTTGTTTGTTGTCTGTTGTTGTTGTTGTTGCTATATTTTTGGTTCAAGTACTAAATCACCTGGCTGGTAAAAGTTTATTTTTATCTAATTTGAATTTATGCGCGTAGATCTCTTGCGCTAGATCAGAAACTCAAACTGGGAAACTGGTTTCCACTCGTGATTTATGCCACACAGGTTAGAACTCGCCGCCAGATTGCCACCAAAGATATGGCAAATGCGTTGCGGCTTATTGAAAATAATATATATATATAGATGCTAGATATATATGACGGATACGGATATGATGTGGCCACTATGTAAATAGTGTCATTGTGCTAAGCCCAAGTCCGTCTCATTAGCCCAAAAGGTAGCAACAGGTGCGACCCGGGGGCTACGCTTCAGATTATTGTTATGCTGAGTGGCACTTGTTGAGTTTTTTGTTGTATTTCATCATCATCATCATCATCGTCATCATCTTCTTCTTCTCGTTCATCGCTTTTCAACTATTTAGATTGGTTTTCACATCAGCTTACAAATGTGTTGAAAGGCGAAGGTTGAAGGAAAAGCCAAAAATGCTGATAGCCAACGTTTGAATTGCTTCTTATGCCAAGGGGATTAACGCAGGTGAAACTCGTATAGAAAACGAGAAAGATACATGAAATGGTTTGAGCTTGGGTTGCAGTGATTTTTTATTTAATATATTAATATATATATATAAAAATATAAGAGTGAATAATTAATTTCAAATTCTAAATGAGACAATCATAATAATTATAGATATATCATTTATCAGTCAATTTAAATATGTAAACCAGACTAAATCAAAAACAGAGATTCCTATAAAATCTTTCCTTTTATTGGATACAACTTAATGTTAATTATCAGATGAATTATAAAAAATGGAATCCTGTTGATAGAACTAGATTTTATTTTGTAAAAAAAAATATAGTTAATATTAAAATGTATATTTACTTGGCTGAACCACTTTTGTTACTTAAATAAATTAATGAAGTTGTAATGCAAAAAATGAGCAAAAATATCAGTCCACACAGAAAAAATAATTTAAAAACAAAACAATTTTATATGTTTGCTTTTTCAATAAAAAAATTACTTATATTTTATTTAATTATAAGATCAAAAAAAAAAAATCCCAAAAAGGCTTAATTATTTGATATTGTATTTACCAATTTCTACACATCAGCCGCGCACGCATTCAACCAATCCACTGATTTTGAGGAATCTCTGTGGCAACAACAACAACAAGAGCAGCTGAGCTACTCGCACAATTCATAAAACTACAACATACAACACAATAATCAACAGTGAGTGAAGTAATTGGAGCTCCAGCAGCGCCGAGCTTGTAAAATTCAGCAACAGAGAGCAGACCGGTGTGTGTGCCTTGTCTCTGCTGTGTTGTGGCAGCTGTGGGCTGAGTTTAAATCTCGAATAAAAAAGAAATTCATCTTCATAAAACGAACGAACCGAAAAAAAACCGGCAGCGGCTGTCGATGCAGCCAGAGACCGGCACAGAGCCACAGACCCACACTGAGAGGTAGTTTACTTGCGATAATCACACCAATCCAAAAAGCCTCCGTTGTCTCAGTTGCCTCCGTTCCTCCTCCCCACACACACACACACACGGACACTCGCACTCCTCTCGCAACACGTCGCATCGGCTCAACATGTAACGTCATAAACACTTGAAAAACTGTTCAAATTTGATGTACCACTTACAAGTCGAGCGGCGGCTGACTTCAGTTCTGTCTCAAATACCCTTACCTTGCCAAGGCTACTGCAAATTTCAAAGAACTCAACTCAAGTCGGAGTTTTTACGGAATGAACTCCCATATCATATAGAAACTATCGGTCGATTGATAATTGATACTACAACTTATGTCTTACAGTCTGTTTTTCACTATGCCCAACATTTCCTACATTCACATTCCGAACATTTCGCGATTCCATTATGGATATCCGTTGTTCTTATCGCTTGACTCGATAATAAAACAGCTGATCAGCTTAATATTACTTGTCTTTAATAAATCAATTAATTAAAATATAATAATAGGTAAATAAATAATAATTAATAATAAATCACAAAAAAAAAAATATATATATATAATTGATTCCATTTCAATTGTCATTCAGCATTTGATTTTAATAAAATAATAATAAATTAATTAAATTGTAGTTTAAAAAAAGCTCTTCCTTTACTTTAAATATGAACTGCTGTTAATTTTTATTCTCTTTAGATTTTGGCAAGAAAATGCTCAACGTCTGATTTAGAAATCAAGTTATTTTTTTACAAATAATTATTATCAATAATTGATTGCATATATCAGCAGTTATTTGGTTATTTAAAGAGCATCTAGTCTTCCGCGTGCCGAGGAAAGTTCCATTTTCAGTGTTTTTCATTTTATTGGCAACGCTGGTTTGGTTTTGAGGCGGCTTCTTTTGGCTTCGATATCTTGCCCCCTCATGCAGCAATTGCTTTGGCTCTGCTGTGATTCGGCTCGAAAATTACTTTAATGTGTTGTTGCACAGATTTTGGTTTTTATTCAGTTCGTTTTGTTGTTCTTTGTTTGACGATAGAGGCGTGAACCTGTTGAAATTCGTAGCCAGAGACTTTGTTAAGACTTTCTTGCTGCCTGTTTGTTGTGGTCCAGCATCCGTTCTGGCCAACCCCAGGCCCATGGGCTATTTGGCTGTGT